TAATGTGATGTAGAAAATATAAGGGCAAGGTAGTAAGTCGTAAGAGGTTAAGTGAGGGAAAAAGTGGAAGACCATATTAGAGGTCCAGGGGATAATTTTGACATAAGGAAAATTTGGGGTTTAAAATGCTCATTTCGTGAAATCGTGAAAGTTGGAAAAAAAACGGTGAACAAGAGCTAGGACACAGGAACTCAGAGGGATTCTGTAGAACACATAAGGAAAGATCATCGTTAGGTAAGGAGGGTTATCATTATCATTACAATTGGTATGGGGTTTAGGTAATTGTAAGTTTGTGTTTGAGGTTTTGATTGATGATGATAACATGATGATTTTGTTGGAAATTGATGCAATTGTGATGTTGTTGCCATGAATTGATGCATATAATGTTTATTATGATGTGTTGTTATTGTATGAGGAAAACATGAGAATTTGTGATGAATTGGGATCTGTACTGATGTAAAATTGCAAGAAAATTGGATTAATTTTATGCAGAAAATGCAATAACATAGTTTCTATTTTCGCGCCCTCGACGAGCGAGCCTCCCAAGTCACTGGGCAAAGCAACTTCGCCCAGACTTTGCCAGGCGAGAGTAAGGCAAGAGAGAGAGAGAGAGAGAGAGAGAGAGAGAGAGAGAGAGAGAGAGAGAGAGAGAGAGAGAGAGAGAGAGAGAGAGAGAGAGAGAGAGAGAGAGAGAGAGAGAGAGAGAGAGAGAGAGATGAGTTTTTGGAAAGTTATGGAAAATGTTTGAAGGAGGTGTCTCGCTGCAGCTTTGCCGGGTGAATGAAAAGGGTCACCGGGTGAATGAGGTGAGGGAAAGTAGGTGCTCCTAGAATTTTGTATGGGGAAGGCGAGAGTAATGATGTCTTGGTGATGATTGTTGATTTGATGACACACTGATGTTGTGAATGAATTAATGATGTGAGAGAGTGGGTGTAATATATGATGTATGATGACATGTGGTTTTATGTTAATCTGCTATAACTACCGTAAATAACTTGCAGGTGATCAAGAATAGTCCGTTAAAGCTTAGATGATAGCTTCGGGGTTGAGATTGTTTGATTGGAATAATTATGTTCTTTTATTTATTTTGAGATTTTGAACTATCTCTCATGGTATTTAATTTATTTGAATCATGAATCATGAACGATGAAGTACGATGAACACTACAAGAAAAATGATAGATTGGGACGGTTATTTTGGCTGATTACGACGGTTAAAACCGTCGCAATTTACAATCTACGACGGTAGAAGTACCGTCGCAGAATCGTGCGTCCCCAGCCTATTTCGCGACGGTTGCAAAAACTGTCACGCACAACAGATGGCGACGGTTATATACCGTCGTGAATTTGACTTTATTTTTTGTTTTTGTTGTTGTTTGCGACGGTTATATACCGTCGTGAATTTGACTTTATTTTTTGTTTTTGTTGTTGTTTGCGACGGTTATATACCGTCGTGAATTTGACTTTATTTTTTGTTTTTGTTGTTGTTTGTGACGGTTATATACCGTCGTGAATTTGACTTTATTTTTTGTTGTTGTTGTTTGCGACGGTTATATACCGTCGTGAATTTGACTTTAACCGTCGTAATCTGATTTATAAATTTCAAATAATATTTTTATTTAAATTAATATTTAGTAAAATAATTTTAAATATAATATTATTTTACTATAATATTTTACTATTATATTTAAATTATTATTTACTTTAATATTTTTTTATTTATAGTATTTTTATTTTATTTTCTATCACTTTTCAACATTGTTTTGAAATGAGCAATCCAATTGTTTTGAAATATTTACTAACTCAGTATTATTAATTCAGTTGGGAAACCATTTGTAAAATAATGCAAGGAGACATTGCTTTTGCTATTGAAGCGTGAGATTTCCGTGAGATACCAGTACTTATTATTGGGAGAAAAGATTTATGAATTATTGCACATTGTAATATGCTTATACCACCTTATAACTTTGCTACAAGTTACCTATAACAAGTGAGATTTTCCGATTTTCAGGAACTATAACAAAAAGAGGTTAGCTCCGAAATCTCTTGATCATTTTGCAATCTTTGCAGCCATTTCTCTGACCAACTTAGCAGCTACCATAGCAGTCATTCCATCAACAGTATCACGTTGTGGGTTGAGTTCAACGACGTCTCCAGCAACAACATCACCTTGAAGATTGTGTAGGATGTTAAGAACATCGCGGAAAGAAAGACCTCCCGGTTCAATATGAGACACTCCCGGAGCAAATGCAGGATCAAGACAATCCACGTCTATCGAGATATACACCCCTTTCACACCTTCCCCTAGTTTCTGCACAAGGAAATCACCAAGGTTTAAAAAGAACATACAAATGCACAAGTTAGTATCAATACATGCACACTCGGCATCAAGGGCACTTGTAGCTTCATCAAGAAGTAATATTTTTGGATCTTTCAAAATTGCTCTTCCAATTGCAACTCTTTGCTTTTGACCTCCCTAGAGTTGAGTTCCATGTTCACCAACCATTGCGTCTAGTCCCTAAGATCATTAACCATGTTTAAACAAAATGATTAAATAAAAAAGAACACGCTCAATATGAAGGGGCAGAATATTTCAAACTGTAAAATAGAATTTACTATGACGTTACATGTACATTCAGGAGGAACATGAATACCTTGTACTAATACAGTGAATTGATCGATGAAGCTCCAGCTTGGAGGAATAGAAGCAAGCAATTAGTTGTTATGCAATGTACTCATACTCCTTCATGTAATATTAACATCAACCATGAAACTCAATCACTGTCATACAGGTTAACATAAACAATAATAATTGAAAGCATGTATTTAAAAAAAATGTGAGCAATAATCACTTACAAAATAAAGAAGAATGCAAACAACCCCGATGGAAATGTAAGCATCGCAAAATTGAATCTGTAACCTTGATAAAGGCCAAATCTAGCGATTAGAGTTCCTATGTTATAACTGATACAAATTAAACGAAAAGACTCGAATTTCAATAACACTTACTACAAATATTTCACTCACATGTGTAGTAGTGTAAATAAAACAACAAACATTAAAATTGTCATTTGTTAGGTGCCATCATCACAATACCCTATAAGACCAGTCAAGTATTTATGATGAACTATAGCAAAACATTTGGCCTTTCAATCACAAAGGATAAAACTTGTTAACTGTATTTACACTCACACAGGCATGATGACATTTGCAAGTTAGTTAATCATACTACCTCTACTTGAAATTGTAGATATCCTTGAGCTGATGAGAAAGATAGCATTTTGACAGCTACGTCAATATCATCACAATCCAGCCATGGTAGACTATTTCAGATGCTTCTTTCCCCCACCACCTTTTCAAAGTTTCTGGTAATGCTTAATACTTCTTCATAGGTGAATTCTTGTTTCTTTGACTCTAGTTCTTGCTTTATTCTTGAATAAGCACCAACCTTGCTCACCTGATGGGAAGCTATGACGAAGAAACACATTCATTATCGAAATGGAAGAAAAAGTACCACGAAGATTGAGAAACTTACATGTGTGATGAATAAACTATATAAAAAATATACCTTTGCAATAACATGGTAGGCTGTCAAGGTTCTAAGAAAATACTTCATCTCTTAAATTGCTTCAACATACAAATAAGGAATACATAATCCCTAAAATGTTTCCTCTTTCATGTAACTCACCACTAACTAAGAAGTTTCATTGGCCTTTGCATTTTCTTCTAAACCTTCCAATTAAATTGACCCCTGTGAAATTTAATATTATTCAACCAAGAATGAAACACATGAAAATTAAGTATAAAACTACACAATAGTACTTCAATAGTTCAACTTTTACAATAACATATACTGTCCAAAAAAAAAATCTTTTCTGAAAGGTATCGATTTGGCAGGGGAAATAGGGCATGAAAAGTTATTTTTCAGTTCTTTTGGCAGGGGATTGATTATTCTCTGAGGATCGAGCTCTATGGGTAGTTGGGGAGATTGTTTCCTACTGCTGCTATCACATTTCATCAATTATAACAATGCTTTCTCTTATTCTGCATTGGCATTATTTACTGTTTAATTCCCTAGAAATCTGGTTTGCATCACAATAGCACGTCATTTTACATGAGTGTGATGTCTGTTCCATCAGTCCAGGGTAGCAGAAGAGCTTCCAAAAGGAATTTGATCTATATAATAGAGATTTACATACATTTTAGACACCACATCTGCCATAAGCAAAAAAGAAATAGTGGTTTACATCTCTTGATGTAGTGCTGCTTGTGCAGTCTAGAGTAACCAAACTAATAAAAAAAATGCAGCAACATGGGGAATGAAAGAACCAGGATAGAAGAATTTAAATTAAATGTCAAAGCTTCCAACTAAAAGTGCAGAGTGTAAACATTTATCCCAAAAACAAAAGGTATGGTGCAAACATGAAAGGGATGTCGTATCGCTGGGCAATACAAGGTAGAAACAGTATGTCCTCTAAGCATAAGCTATGTAGAAAATCATGATATAAATGCATTGAATCGAACAAAAAGTAAAAGAATCGTTACCACGGGTCCATGAAGAGGATCAGAAGCGATGAATTCCTCAACATCAGAGTCAGACCAGGAAGTGAGGGGTTTATCACGCTTGATGAAGTTGGAATAATTGCTCATAAACGAAAACCTCTCGCCCCAAAACTCTTTGTAGCCTTCCCAGAAAGACTGAGGTGATGAATCTTGCGTGTTACCTGCCATCGCCACCGTTTTCCCCCTTCAATTGTTTCACTCTGCAGCCACAAATCAAGAAAAATCGATCAATTAAACAAAATCGATGGATTTCCCCATAAAAAATCATTCATGCAAAATCTGAATAAATTGTTCATTTCAAATTAAATGGATGAGATTGATGGATAATAGAAATTGGAGTCTGAAACAAACCAGTGAGAAGAGTAAGATGACGAGCACGGTACTTTTCTGCTGTTTAGGTTTGCCAAATGAATGTGCTTTTTGTTTCAGATCTTCGCTCTAGAATTCACTCTATCGAACATCCATTGAAATAATTTAATAAATATGGATTATTCTCGTTTTTGTGAATATTTTTTTAAATAATAAGGTATCGAAAAATATTTGGTATGAAAGGAGAGCAAATTACTAAGTAAAATTTGGATAAGGGTTAATTTATGCTCACCTCTAAGACGTTGTAGATCACATACAGTTTGATTGTTGCTTGACCACGGATTATATGATATATGAAGCTGATATCTAAAACAACAAAAAATTAGGAGTGGTGAGCATAACACCAATTTCAGCATAAGAAACAACCTGATAATTCAAAACAGAAATATGTATATGGAACTAAACCTATTTGCTGCAAAACAGTGATTCCACAAGCCATAATAATAAAATAGCCAAAATCCGACAATTCATTGCATGTGTTAATCTGTGAGTATTTAAGATAGAATATTACAAAACTTAACAATCAAGTAGTAAGATAATCCAGTAAAACATAAACTGCATAAAACTCTCTGGATAGGTAAAAGGAGAAAACATACAATTGGATCAGGCGCGTTTACTTGCTGGCACATAACCCAGGGAACACCTGTATCAAGAGATGTAGCCATCGATGCTGCCCAATTGATGTAAGATTTACCAGCAGGACCATAGTGTATATCAACGTTTCCATACTCATTTTCAATCTGGCATACCAAATAACTGAGCAATAATATCCTTAAAAAAAGAAAATTGGCTTGTATTTTGATGATTTTAAGAGAATGAAACCTGAGATAAAATGATAGGTCCTCCTTGTGATGCATAGAGATTCTCTTGCTTCATCAAATCCACAATCTTTGCTGTAAACCGTTTCATTTCTGCCTTGAATGGTTCATTATCAGTTCTGAACTTAATTCCCGGAATAAAATGCAACCAAAGAGGGAAACCACTGTTTAGGAAGGGAAAAGAAATTAAAGTCAGGGATTAGATATTATGATGAAACTGTCTTCAAAATGATACATTGAAAAGATCCAATTTTACCCGTAATTCCATTCTGCACAAGCGTATGGACCGATCCGGAGATGAACATATAGACCTGCTGCTGCTACTGCCTTCACAAATCCAACCAAATCACCCCTACCTTCAAAATTGTACTGCCAAGCCAAAATATGTAATCCATCATTAATTTTGAGAACTCACAAAACTGCAATGTAAAAGACAGAAGAATAACAATATGAAAGTGGAAAGACAATGAAAAAGAACAGAACCTGGCGTCGAACAGGTTCGTGTAAGTTCCAGAAAACATAAGTCTCAATGACATCAATTCCTCCATCTTTGGATTTATGAATAAGGTCTGGCCACATCTACAACAACAACAACACTACCATTGTTAAGTTCAAACATCAAACACAAATTGAATAAATAGTGCATATCTACTAGCACAGACACGATAATAGTTTGAAATAAATTGAAGTGACTAAATGTAACCATTTCAGAGATATCTTATGACATTGGGCTGAAGTATCTGTGCTACATAGGTGTATATATATAGACACAAACATAAAGATGAAGAGAGTTAAGAAAACATACCAAGAAAAGTAGAAGGAAATGCTGAACCAAACCTAGCAAATCAGGATGAAATGGTAGAAGTCCTGCAACCCAACCAAGGTTTAAGAACCCCAAAATCTAAAATAAGAATAAGAATTGAATTCCCAAACAAAGGAATCTAATTCAATTTCAAAAAGTAAAACCTTTGTTGCTAGCAAATATGACAGAAGCAACACAAGTCACTCAAATAAACATGCTTTGGTCAGAATCACACTCTGCAACAGAATATGATGCTTAAATGGTTATAAAGTCCTTTTACAACACCCACTAGGCACTATATAGCATAGCATATCAGAATTCTATAAACTCAGCCATACCTTGAGTTGAGCATTACAACAAACACTTGATGAGCATCCTCTCTACTCATTCCCTTCTTGAACATACTGATGTTACGGGACTCCAATCTTCAACTAGGAATTTTAACAAACACCTTGACACCAATGGCAAAAGACACCAGCGTCAACGTGCTACTGGACTCCAATATTCAACTATGCATTTTCACAAACACCTTGACACTAATGGAAAAAGACACCACCGTTAGCCTCTACAATAACACCATCGCCATCACTGATCTAAAGCTCCATCATCTAATGTCAAAGCTCCGACGGGATCAAAAATTGTGATCTAAACAGTAGGATGATCGAAGACTTTAACTTGCATATTAGTGAGAAACATCAAAACACCCCCGAGATCAAACACGGTGATGAAGTCATAGTGGTGATTCAAATACCCAAAATTATTTTCATTTGAGAGTGAAAGAATCAAAATATGAGATTTCATTACCTCCTTTGTGATGACGAGTTTGTGACTTGCTGATTCCAATCTTGATGACATTGAATCTTGTGCGATGAAGACCCTTGCGGAACGATTAGTAGCAGAAAAGGAGATTTTGAAAACCTAACATCAATTCAACATTAGATGACCTTCCACGGGGTGGCAAGCTTTAGAGAATAGGGAAGTTTTGTTTCTCTTTCAGTTGGTGATTGGGGATTGGCATAGTTCTCTTTTCTCTCGTATGCCCGGAAAATCAAATTGCGGTACAACTCAGCTTTTTTTAACTTTTTTACGGCGACGGGTGTTTTACCGTCGTGCCCATGAGAATTTTTAAAGGTTTTGGGTGCGACGGTTGTTTTACCGTCGTGAAATGAATTTTAGGACGGATAATTTTACCGTCGTGAAAGGTTTAAGGGTGCGACGGGTGCTTTACCGTCGTGATATGCCTTTTAGGACGGTTAATTTTACCGTCGTGACTAGTTGTTGGTGAAAAATCAATGTTAAAAGTGTTAAATGGGGGCCGACGGTTGTTTTACCGTCGTAATAATAATATTATGATGGTTAAATATACCGTCGCAAAATAAATATTAGGGACGGTTGGTGTCAACTGTCGTAAACACTGTCGCTATATGTCAATTACGACAGTTATCACATAACTGTCGCAATTTTTGTGTCGTTAAACACTAATTTTCTTGTAGTGGAAGTTTCTATGAAGTATCTTAGTAAAGGTGTTTTGAAACTATTAATTCCACTGCAAGTAGTTGAAGTGTTATTGTTGTTATTAATGAAGTATCTATTATAAATGATTTTGAAAACTCGTGTTACGGAGTAGGATGTTTATTATATTATGTTTATATGAAGATGTGACACCCTTGTTGGTGATTTATGTTTGACTTAACGTTAAACTATTCATGAAATTATTCATTGGGTTAGAAGGGTGTTACATTAGTGGTATCAGGGCAGGTTGGTCTGTCCTACCAGGTTTTTCTTATGATGCGCTTATCATGTCGGTTGATTAGTGTGAGTACATTATCGATACAATGTTTTTTTTATGTTAGTTTCCTGTGTGTAGAATGGATGAAAGGAACAATGTCGCTATTGTTGTTGCTTTGTAGGTTGTGGCTCAGGCTGTGCAACATCAGCCTAATGCTGGCGAGAATGATGGATCCCGTGTCTTGGAGACGTTTCAGAGGAATCATCCGCCTACTTTCAAAGGTAGGTATGATCCTGATGGAGCAGAGACTTGGCTCAAAGAGATTAAGCGGATCTTTCGAGTCATGCACAGAAGGTGAGGTTTGGTACACATATGCTGGCAGAGGAAGCTGATGACTAGTAGGTCGACACCCGTCAGAGACTGGAAGCGGTGGGAGAAGTTATTACTTGGACTGTGTTCAGTAGAGAGTTTCTAAGGAAGTGTTTTCCCAAATATGTGTGCGGGAAGAAAGATATTTAATTCCTAGAGTTGAAACAAGGGAATTTGTCTATAACTGAGTATGCTTCGAGGTCCGTGGAACATGGAAAGTATTATCTGCATTACAGTGAAGCGGCTACTGAATTCTCGAATTGTATCAAGTTTGAGAATGGATTGCATCTGGAAATCAAGTGGTCAATTGGATATTAGCAGATCCGTAGGTTTCCAGAGTTAGTGAACAACTGTAGGATCTACGAAGAAGATAACAAAGCTCATTCGGCTCACCACAAGAGTCTGAATGAGAAGAGAGGAAAACAACATCAAGACCATAGGAAGCCTTATGATGCTCCGGCTGATAAAGGGAAAGAAAAGGTTTCCATTGGGAAAAAGACAAGCGGGGGAGGAGCTCTCACTCCTGTCAAGTGTTATAGGCGTGGTGAACAAGGTCGCCTTTCTAATGAATGTGAGAAGAAGGTTATGAGATGTTACAAATGTGGTAAGACAGGTGATCATGCTCCTGAATGCAAGAATGATGGTCTAACTTGTTTTAATTATGGAGAACCGAGTCATATCAGTACCCAATGTCATAATCCAAATAAGGACGTTGCTGCTCTGACCAACAATAGAGTGTTCGCTTTGAGTGGATCAGAGAATTCCAAGACGGACAACTTAATTTGAGGTACCGATTTTATTAACAATGTTGAATTGGTTTCTATTATTGATACTGGTGTTAATCATTCATTTATTTCATGTGAATGTGCTAATATGTTGGGATTGAAGTTGTCTGATATGAATGGTAGTATGATAATAGATACTTCTGTTAGTGGTTCTGTTACTACTACTTTTGTTTGTTCGAGATGTCCTTTGACTATATTTGGCAAGATTTTTGTGATGGATTTGATGTGTCTACCCTTGCACAAAATTGACGTTAGTCTTGGGATGAGTTGGTTGGATTTCAAATATGTTCATATCAATTGTTATAATAAAGCTTTGAGGTTCCATAAGTTTGGTGATTATGGAGAACTGATGTTGTTGTCTGCTAAGAAAGTGAATGAACTTTTAGAAGATAAATCTTTGATGTTTGCAATGTTTGCATCCTTGCAAGTTGACCGTGAAGCTATAAGTGCTGAATTACTCGTTGTCTGTGAATTTCCAGAAGTGTTTCTGGATGACATCAATGATTTACCTCCAGAGCGCGAAGTAGAGTTTTCCATCGACCTAGTACCAGGTACAAGTCCGGTGTCAATGACTCCTTACAGAATTTCAGCTTCAGAGCTGAGTAAGTTGAAGAAAAAACTAGAAGAATGCTTAAGAAGAAGTTTGTTTGACCGAGTGTTTCTCGGTGGGGTGCACATGTGTTGTTAGTTAATAAGAAAGATGGAAGTATGATATCGTGTGTGGACTATAGGCATTTGAATAAAGTGACTATTAAAAATAATTATCCACTCCCGGGGATTGATGATTTAATGGATCAGTTGGTGGGTGCTTGTTTTTTCAGCAAGATTGATTTAAGGTCGGGTTATCATTAATTCGTGTTAAACTAGATGATATTCCGAAGACGTATTTTTAAACAAGGTATGGTCATATGAGTACATTGTGATGTCGTTTGGTGTATTTGATGCGCCAAGTGTTTTCATAGAGTATATGAATCAAACATTTCATTCGTATCTAGACAAGTTTGTAGTAGTTTTCATTGATGATATTCTGATCTATTCTAAATCAGAGGAAGAACATGATGAGCATTTATGAATTATGTTACAAGTGTTGAAAGAAAAGAAGTTGTATGCAAAGTTGTCGAAGTGTGATTTCTGGTTGAAGGAAGTGAGTTTCTTTGGCCATGTTATTTCTAGTGGTGTAATTGTTATGGATCCTTCTAAGGTTGATGCAGTGTTGCAATGGGAAACTCTGAAGTCTGTGAATGAGATTCAAATTTTTCTTGGTTTAGCAGGTTATTATCGAAGGTTCGTTGAAGGATTTTCTAAGTTGGCATTACCATTAACTCAGTTGACTCGAAAGGGTCAAGCTTATGTATGGGATGTTGCGTGTGAATAAAGTTTTGTAGAATTGAAGAAGAAGTTGGCGACCGCTCCGATATTAATTTTGCCTAATCTGAGTGAGCCTTTCGTGGTCTACTGTGACGCGTCTAAGATGGATATTGGTGGTGTATTGATGCAAAATGGGTAGGTTGTTGCTTATGCTTCTAGGCAACTGAAAGTTCATGAAAGAAATAATCCTACACATGACTTAGAGTTAGCAGTGGTGGTACTTGTGTTGAAGATTTGGAGACATTATCTTTTTGGCTCTTGTAATGCGGTGGAAGAACTGACTTGGGTATTTTGCGTTTGATCGCAATTGTTGCGGATAGCAAGGGTCTCCACCGACTTTTCTTTTATTCAAAAGGAAAGGTTGAAAAGAACAAGAAAGACCTTTCGAGATTATTTCTTGAGTTCGGGGGGTAGGTTATGAAAAGGGAAGGTGTCAGCACCCTTTTCATCTGTAGTTATCTACGGGCTCTTAGTTGCTTGCTAGATCTCTTGCTTTTGTTTGAAAACGTGTTTGTGATGTGGGTTTTGAAAGTATTTTGAAAAGGAATGTCTTTGTAATGGTTCTCGTCTCTATAAGAACGCGTACAAAGTGTTTTGTCTTTTGAAAAATGTTTCAAAGTGAAATTGTGGGTGTATAAAATGTTTTTGTTGTGAGCAAGAGAGCAACTAGGAGTAACCTACCTACTCAAAATGTCTTAAATGTTCTTTTCCTCCTCCTTTAGATGTTGCTATCTTACCATTAATTTGGTAAGAAGCCCCATCATTGGATGTGAAGGGACGGGTGTGAGACATTTGTATAGTCATAGAAGGCAACCTATGGGACGTTTTAGCAATGTCATATAGGGACTAGATCGTTTACCGAAGGCAACATTGAGGGACTACGATCTTTTATCGAGGGTCTTTGCTAAAATTCCCATATTCGAGGGACATGACTATTTTCTGAAAGGCAAAAAAGTGAGATTACCCTAGAGGTGCTAGTGTGCAAGTATGTTTGATTTACATGCATTTAGTCTTGATTAGGGTTATCTATTTGTTGATTTTGTGTTTTGCCATACAAACCCTAATTACTAGAATTTGTATTTTAAAGTGATAAATTATGGAAATGTAAAGTCCTACGCTATTACACCATTTAAGGATGGGGGTACAAATTTACAAATGGGGGGTTGCAAAAATTTTAAATCCTACTTATCTATTACAACCATATTGAATTGTACAAACACAAAAAGGAAAGGACTTGTTTTGAAAATGATTTTTTTATCTTAATAAATTAAAAAGAAAATAATTATTTAATAACATAAAATATTTTTGATGCCTTTTCATAAAAATAGTACTAATGATGAAAATAATAAAAATAAGAGGGAAAAAGGAAAAATAACGAGAAATAGGATCAGCCTGTCGCTGAAAGCAAAAATAAAGAGGGCCAAAAGTTCTGATGTCAGGCGCGTTGTGGTTCGGAAAGAAACGTCAGTGGTAATCAGAAGTTCTGGGTTGATGCACGCTGAGGTCCTAAAAGAAACGCTAGAGGGAAAAACAAAAGTTCTGGGTCGCTACGCGCTGAAGTTATGAGTGTTAGAATATTGAGGAAATCTTAGAAGTTCTGTGTG